TTTTGAGGGTATGAAGTTTGTATTTCAGGAACAGTTTTCTGAATAAGAACGGAAGATATTATGATATTGTTAGGTATAAGAACCTGGTCCTGATCATTATCAAGGGCACCTGAGGGAATAAGAATATTGACCCGTTCATCTTCAAAAACAAGGTCGTTAACTTTTTCTCCCCCTGCAAACTCAACATCCTCAAATAATTGGGCATTTCTCATCTAAAAAATTATCCTAATAGTGGGATCATAAAATTTGTAACCCCTGAATCCCTCAGAATAACCAACAAATAACAACTAACATCTTGGAATCAAGTTTCTTTTCCTATGGCCTATAGGGCCTAGCCTCAGCTGAACATCCACAAATATGCAACTGTCTCAAATTAGGCTTCTTACCCGTCTAAAGCTCATAAGGGATCTTTGAAGTTCTTTAGTTGGAACTTTGTTGAGTAAATATGTTGCAGTCTTTAATGATTCTCTTCAAAGTGATTCAGATAAGGTATAATGATTAATCATACTCCTTACCATATCCTTAAATGTTCTGTTTCGCCATTCAGCAACACCATTCGTGTTAGGAGAACCTTGCATGGTGTACTGTAGGACAACATTTGGGAATCGAGCAAACGGACCTAGACGCTGTTCACCTAATCCATTTGATCTACCATAGTATTTACCACCATAGTAAGATCTAACAGCTTTAATCCTTTTGTTGAGTTGATTTTTAAATTATGTTTTAAAACTTTTGAACACATCTAGGGATTGAGACTTTTCATGAATGAGATATAGGTAGTCATATCCTAAATAATCATCTATAACATTATGAAATATTGTTGACAATTCCAAGAAACCGTAGGGAACGATCCACAAATATCTAATAGGTCCATAGCTCTGTTGGCACCTAATCTCTTAATATTTGTCTGTTTTCCCTTGATACAATGAACACATCTATTAAAATATAAAAAATCAAGGAGAGAGAGAATTTTTTATGACACAAGTCTCTCAATTCTCTTTTGGGAGATGTGACATAATCTCTTGTGCCATAAAGAAGCAGAATCCTTATTGGTTAATTTTTTCTTCATACCTCTTATAGCAACATGTAAGGATTCATTATAAGAAACAATTATATCAAGCAAATAAAGATTATCATGCACTGATAAAGAATTAGAACCAACCAAATTTGAATTAAGAAAAAGACTAATTTTTTTTATTTTCAAATGAACATAAATAACCAAAATTTTCTAATACAGAAACAGAAATCACATTCCGTCTAAATGACGGTACAATAAAAGTCTCTTCTAAATCCAAATAAAATCCAATACTTAACAACAATCTAAATTTGTCAATTGCTTCCACCTCTACTAGTTTGCCATCGCCCACATAAATGAATATGACACCATCACTTGGTTTGCGGCAATGGAGGCAACACTACATAGAGACATTGATATTAATTGTGGCACTAGAATCTATCCACTATGTGTGTATTGATACAAAAGTTAAATTAACCTCAAATCAAACAAAATTAAGAAGCATACATTTCTTTGTGCACCACACATTATAGTTAGCGCATTGCTTCTTCTAATGTCTCGGAACTTAATAGAAGAAACAAACATTTTCAATCTAAGCCTTTTGTTGCTTCTTATATTGTATTGGAACCCCAATAGATTTACCTGTTTGCTTTTTATTGTTCTTTTTATTTTTGGAGATCACTTCTAAATGAGCACTCTCTGTCCTCTCAGACTTGAGTCTTTCTTCCTCTTGAACACACGTGAAATGAGTTCATTCAGATTTTATGATTCTTTCTAATAGTTGTATGTCACCTTAAAATGATTAAATTATGGTAGAAGAGAAATTAAAACAAAGTACACAAATACTTCTTTTGACAATTTCACTCTAAGTGCTTTGAGCTTTGCATGCACATGTGACATCTCCATTATGTGCTCTCTAATGTCTCTATTTCCCTTATACCTAATGGAAACAAAAGTCAGAATGAAATATACATACTTCAGCCGTATCACTTCTGGAGAATTGTTATTCTTGAGAATGCATAAAATCTCTAGCTATTGTGACCTCATCGGACATAGTGCCTAAAAAAACTCTGGAATGGTCTGTTTCATAACCAACATATTTATACGGTTTGATCGATCCCATCCTTCAAACTCTTTCTTTTCCTCATGAGTGTTGTTAGGAGTAATTGGATCGGGTTGATCAACCCGTAAAGCCCAATCCAGATCCATAACTTCAAGCACAAGTTGAACATTATTCTTCAATTGCTTGAAATTTGTGATGTTCAACATTGGAAATGAATTAACATTTGTGGTGATACTTCCAGTAAAAAAGGAAGTTAAACAGAGAACATACAAAAATAAATAAATTAATACTCACATAAAACTATAAATTATAAAATTTAATAATAAATTTTAAATAAATGTATATTTCCATATCAAGATACCGAACACTCCATTAACTCTCTATCTTTAAACCGAATATTAACTTGTAAGTGGTACCCTGTAACAGTAATTAAATACAGACAGTAGAGAAATATCAAATAATAAACATTCCTTTGGGTTGATTTAAAGTTCACATATCATACTGAATAATTATCACATATTTATTACCTCAAAAATGGAATGCAATAATGTTAAATATTAACATTTCTTTGGGCCGATTAACATTTATATAAATTACACTCATATAACTATTTACATTATAAAATAAATAAATAATCCACAAGAGATATTACTTTGGTGACATATGTTAATTAAGTTATTTTAATATGTATATACACATAGTAATATTAAAATTCAAAATTAAAACCAAATTTAAACTAAATTATGAAGAAAATCAACTATAAAATAATAAAAAAATACTCTTTAATATATATATATATATATTTTCAAGGGTTAATTATTGACTAGTCGAAGTCAACTTTAACCGTTGACCAGTCAAGTGTCGATCGTCAACCGTTGACCATTGACTGATCAACTGTTAACTGTTGATTGGGTTGGGTCAACACCCGTCGGGTCCATGCCGAGTTGAGTCTAGACCAAGTTGGCCCATCCTAAACGGGCCTGAATTTTAGGCCAGCAGATTCGATCTTTTCTCTTATTGTAATCCAAGCCCACATAATTATAATTTTTAAAATTTAAACATAAACAACCCATCAAATCCAAAACCCTCACCCTTTTAATTTTAAACAAAAAATTAAATAGTAAATTAAATTCATGCAATCTGTAAGGGTTGCTTTTTAAATATTTTTAAACTAAATTTAATTTAGCCGTTATGGACTAAATTTAATAGCCGAATGGTTGTAAACTGCCGAATTTTCTTCTTCATGTAGTGGCGGTCGGCCGCTGCTTTATTTATTTTTTATTTTTATATATATACATACATGCTTAAAATATATATATACATATACAATACTTAATTTCTTAATATATATGTTTCTTAATTTTTTGCATATATATATATATATTTATTCAACTAAACAAAAACAAATCCAAAATCTAAAGTTTTGAATCTAAAATCTAAAATTACAAAATAAAAAACAAAAATAAAACTTTCTTAAAACATTCGATACGATAAATGGCTCTGATACTAATTGTTAGAATAATATTTCTTTTCAAATTCGTAGATCTATAAAATTAAATATACATAATTGTACTAAATTAAAGAGAAATATAATCGTAAGTGTATCTGAATCTATCGCAGAAGATTTGTTCACGTTCGGCGGTAGGATCTTCCAAATCAATACGGCGCATTGAAACTAGCTTTTCTGGTGACGGAATTTCAGAAAAATAAAATGACAGTCTTTTGATTCGGGGATCATAATCGCCTTTTATATCGACTAAGTTTTGCAATTTTCATTTCGTCCATCATAGAAATGAGAATATTACAAAAATAGTATCTGCACATTATAAGTTCATACTTAAACTCGATCTATTAAGATCCAATATTGTTCAATCATATTTGATCAGTTTAAACGAGTCCATTAAATTGACAGCCTGATATACATACTAAACCCCACATTAAGCCCACACATTAAAAATCAAACCCGTAAAGAATC